CCTGGCCCTGTCCTGGATCCTTCTCCCTTTTCCTCCCGTGACTACAAAATCTAATCTCCAGCTGCCAACTTCCCAGCAGACCTCTTTGACCTCTCGGACACGGAGTCCACACTCCCCAGCCCTGCGGTGGCCCCAGACATAGGGATGGAGACACGCACACAGCACAGTAATGTAGTCACCTAGCATGCCACACGCCCAGGAGGACCGTGATCCTCAGACAGGGGCATGCACACTGTGGTGAGAAGGCAGAGCAAGGGACCCACTGGGCCACAGCACATGGCTAGCATCGTACAGAACCCATGGAGACCCAGGACTGTGGACACAGCATCTGCAGCCCGGGGCCACACATGGGCAGGGGGCAAGGGACAAAAAAGGGACTTCACACAGTCAGCTGCTGACGGTCATCAGTTCTCAGTGGTGGGTTCACCAGTGCTTGAAACATAGTCCCAGAGAAACACACAGATCACCCTGCCCCCATCACACACCCACCATCGCAGACAAGCCCTCAGTCCTTGAGCTCTGCACCCTACACCCCACACAATCTCACGTGTGCACAAACCCCACACCAGCACACATCTGACATGTACACGCACACACGTACACAGCAGCCTCATCCAGACACAAATTTCCTCACTTTATTAACACAAACTGGACAAATAGTAGAAAAATAAACATCTCCTTATTACACAATGTTTTTTTTTTTTTTAAATGGAAAATGTCCTGCCCTTGAGGAACCCAAGGAACCTTGTGGACATCAGGTAAGTCAACAATTCGAATCCCATCTAGAAAGAGGATACCAGGGGCTTACAGAGGACTCTGGGAAGACAGTGGGATGAAAGGGCTTGTCTTATAGCCACTGATGTATTTCGATTCTTATAATAAGAAATCCTCTTTTTTGGGCCTCACAACCTTGATTCAATATTTTTCACCAGACCATAAAAGAGATTACTGTACTCATGAAACTGCCACTATAAGAAAAAAGACACTATTTGTCTTAATCAAGGTGGTACCTGAAAATAAACAACACTAGAGGTGGCACATCATTTAAAAGAAAACGCTAAGTGTGTTACATAAATACAGAAAAACAGATCAGTACTTAAGTTCACTCTGGGTCTCAGATTTACTTCAATTGTGTAATAATGTATATGTGCCTGAAAAGGGTTATTATCTATGTAATCCTTAAGGGTTAATTAATATTCCCACTCCACCCCCAGGCAGTGATAACTATAAGGTTTGGAGCAGTGTCCGATTGCCCAATAAACAAGATAAGCGAGGGCTGGCTTGTGTTTACTCACTAATCTGAAGGGAGCAAGTTCATTTTTTTTTTTTTTTTAACCACATACAAGATTCTGCTTCTAGGCAC